GTTTCGGGATGAGAGGCAGACTATGGACATTATGGATATTACAAACACTTGGTGGTGTGTTCTGTTTACTACTTGGAAGGGCTACCACACTTCCTCTGGCTATTACTTGGATGATCATATTCTCAATAGGTGCACAAGCAGCATGTGGTGCAACGTTTGGAATTATTCCCTTTATTTCGCGAAGATCATTAGGTATAATATCAGGCATGACAGGAGCTGGAGGCAATTTTGGTTCAGGATTGACACAACTACTGTTTTTCACGAGCACTAAGTACTCGACAGGAACAGGAATAACGTATATGGGGATGATGATCATCGCGTGTACACTTCCAGTAACGTTAGTTCATTTTCCACAATGGGGTAGTATGTTTTTGCCTCCAACTAAAGATCCTATTAAGGGTACTGAAGAACATTATTTCACTTCTGAGTATACTGAGGATGAGAAACAAAAGGGAATGCACCAGAACAGCATCAAGTTCGCGGAGAATAGCCGATCCGAGCGCGGAAAGCGAGTGGGTTCAGCACCTACTCCACCTAACGTAACGCCAAATCGCGTGTGATCGGGAAAAAAAAACTTACTTACACTCGATATTTGCATCACATCAATGTAATAAATGTGTGTTGTAGTTGTAGATGAGCCTTCATTTTGTATGTATGGTTAAATAGTATGTTATTCTCGTTTCAATTATGAAATAAATTAACTTGATGTAAGAGCGAATAAAAATGTATATATTGATTTCTTGGTTATGTTTGTACGTACATTATATATTTGAATATACCAGGAGTCTATGCTTTGTTGTTTTTCTTGAAAAAATAAACACACTCGATTTTAATTTACCAATAACATTTTGGAATATTATTTTTATATTATATAGTTGTCGTAAAATATTCTTCTCCAATATTGTATAATTATCTTATCGATATTTACATTAAATTATATAAATTAATGATAGTTAAATGGTTTATAAAAATAGTGTCAGTACATGTGAAAGTTCTCCAACTCATTATGGAGGTTTTCATAAAATTTTTTGAGAAAATTTTTTTGGATGCTCCGTGCGTCAAATTTATGGGCTAATACACATGAAAAATCAGAAAATTTGAGAGAATCTTAGAAAAGAGCTTGTATATGCGGAAATAGCCATTAAAAATGGTGTGAGTATACGTGAAGGTTCCCCAACTCATTACGGAGGCCCTCATAAATATTTTTGAGAAAAAATCATGGGTGCTCCGTGTGCCAGATCCATGGGCTAATGCACGAAAAATCGAGAAACTTTGGAGATTCTTAAGAAGGGGCTTGTAAATGCAAAAATAACATTAAAAAAAATATGTGAGTATACGTGAAGGTTCCCCAACTTATTATAGAGGTCCACATAAATCTTTTGAGAAAAAACATTTTGGGTGCTACAGGAGCCAGATTCATGGATTAATACACACGAAAAATCGAAAAATTTTTAAGAATCTTAAAAAAAGCTTGTAAATGCGAAAATTTGCCTAAAAATATGATTTAATTATACAAGAAAGTTTCCAAACTAATTATAGATATCCTCATAAAAGTTTTTTGAGTAAATTTTTTGGATGCTCCAAGCACCAGATTCATGGTTCAATGCAGAAGAAAATCAATAAAATGGGGGAGGGGGGGTTACCTACTCTGGCAGCGGCGTAGCTACCCTTCAGATACGGTGTCCAATTGGACACCCTTCTTCAGAAAATTACATTGTATTTATAAGAAAAATAATAATTTAAATGGTTAAATAAGCATTTTGGACACCCCGAAAACAATAAAAATTTCTTAGCTTAATTAGTGGTTTCAGTCGTTCAACTCTTCCTAAGTTCTTTGCAACTTGCTGGGTTCGATTCCCATTAAATGACTTTGATTTTTTTCCTTTCATTAAAAATTTAAAAGAATTATTTAGTTTAAAGTTAATAAGTAAATTCTATTTATTTATTCCATTAAGCTACTAAAAGTGAAAATACTTTATACAAATTCTCTTTTAATATAACTCGTTTGATTCTATTATTTATTTTTCATTTCTCGTTTTTAGTCATCAGAGGTTTGTGAAATGTTGAAGAATAAAAGTGATTTCACTCTAAACTGAAATATCTCTTTTTCTTAACGTGAACACTAAAGCTAAATATTATGTAGTTTAATTTTAAAAATTTTTGGTACACTTTAATTAAAAAATTAATCATTAATGTTATGTAGTTTTATTTACAAAATTTAAGTACACCCATTCTTTAAATTATTTTTATGAGCTATGAGATTTTTGGACACCCTTCGTACAATTTCTGGGTATGCCACTGTACTCTGGGCTCATTTGACCTTGAAAATGGGTCATTTTGGTCGTGATGACCAACTGGCTCCGTAGATAAAGTCTTAACGGACGTTTATGTAAATTTTCGATAAAAATAATCTCAGAATTTCGAATCACTATAAAAGATCGTGGACTATAGCAGAAGAAAATCGACAAAATAGGGGGTTTAACTGTCTTGGGGCTCGTTTAACCTTGAAAATGAACCGTTTTAGTCGTGGTGACCAATCGACTCCATAGATAAGGTCTTAACGAATGTTCATATAAATGTTAGGCAAAAATGACATCGGAATACCAGATCATCAAAAAGATGGTGGACTATATCACACGAAAATCCATCAAATAAGGGATTTAACTACTCTGACTTGTTTGACCTTGAAAATGAGTCATTTTAACCATGGTGACCAATCGGGGTTCAATAAATAAGAACTTAATGGATGTCCATGTAAATTTTCAACAAAAATGTCGGTCAAAATTCTGAATTACCTAGAATCTCATAGACTATAACACACGAAAATCGACAAAATAGGGGATTTACCTACTCTAGAGCTTGTTTGACCTTGAAAATGGACCTTTTTGATCGTGGTGACCAACTGACTCCAAAGATAAAGTCTTAACGGAAGTCCACATAAATTTTGGGCAAAAATGACATCGAAATTCTAAATCACCAAGAAAGATGGTGGACTATAGCACACAAAAATCGACAAAATTGGGGGTTACCTACTCTAAGGTCGTTTTGACTGTGGTGACCAACTGACTCTATAGATAAGGTCTTAATGGATGTCCATGTATTTTTTCGACAAATATGATCTCGAAATTTTGGATTATAAAAAAAAAGGTAAACTGTAGCGCACGAAAATCGATAAAATAGCGCGTTTAACTACTCTAGGCTCGTTTAACTTTGAAAGTGGATCGTTTTGACCGTGGTGACCAATTGGATCCATAGATAATGTCTTAACAGACGTTCATGTAAATTTTGGACAAAAATAACGTCAGAATTCGAATGACCAAAAAAATGGTGGGCTGTAACAAACAAAAATCAACAAAATAGGGGGTTTAACTACTCTAGGGCTCATTTAACCTTGAAAATGAGTCGTTTTGATTGTGTCCAACCGGATTCATAAATAAGGGATCAACACACGTCCATATAAATTTTGGAAAAAAATAACGTCAAAATTTTGGATCACCAATAGAGCTGGTAGACTATAACAAACGAAAATCGATGAAATAGGAGGTTTAACTCCTATGGGGCTGGTTTGACCTATAAAATGGGACGTTTTTGCTGTGGTGACAAATCGGCTCCATAAATAAGGTTATAACGAACGTCCATGTAGATTTTGGGCAAAAATGACGTCAAAATTCCAGTTCACCAAATAGATGGTGGATTATTGCACACGAAAATCAAAATAGGGGGCTTAACTGTTTTGTGGATCGTTTGACCTTAAAATGGGCTCATTATGAAAGTCATCATAAACTTTTTCCGCGAAAATTTTTAGGTGCTCTGCTCGCCATATCCATGGGCTAATATATATGGAAAAACTAATGAATTCGGGGAATTCTTAAAAAGGGCTTGTAAATTTAGAAACGAGTATATAATAAATGGTGTAATTAGGCGTGAAGATTCCTAACTCATTACGGAGGTTCTTATAAGATTTTTTAAGAAAAATATTAGGGTGCTCTAGTGACCAAATCAATGAGCTTATACACACGTAAAAAGGGAAATTTGGGGAAATTCTTAAAAATGAGTTTGTAAATACGTAAATAGGTATTTAAAAATTGTGTAAGTATATGTGAAGGTTTTCCAACTCATTACGACGGTATCTTAATAATTTTTGAGAAAAAAAATTGAGTGATCCGGGCAACATATCAATGAGCTAATATTAACACACAAAAATCAGGTAATATGGTGGATCCTTAGAAAAAGTCTTGTAAATGTGGAAATGGACGTTAAAAAAATGTGTGAGTACATAAAGATTTTTCAACTCATGATGGAGGTCCTCATTAAGTTTTTTGAGAAAATTTTCATGGGTGCTTTGAGCGCCAGATCTATGAGCTTAACACATGAAAATTAAAGATATTTGGAGGATTTTTTAAAAAAAACTTGTAAATGTGGAAAATGTGTGTTAAAAATGTGTGAGTGTATGTAAAGGTTCCCCAACTTATTAAGGAGGTTCTCAAAGAATTTCGAGAAAAACATTTATGGGTTCTTCGGTTGCAAAATCTATAGGCATACACATGAAAAATTAGGTAATTTGGGGAATTTTTAAAAAATGGCTTGTAAATGCAAAAATTGACGTCAAAAAATAGTTAGTATATGTGAAGGTTCCCTAAATCATTACGGAGGTCCTCATAATATTTTTTGAGAATTTTTTTTTGGTATCTATGCGCTAAATCCATGGACTAATACACACGAAAAATTAGAGAGTTCTTTAAAAAGGGATTGTAAATACGGTAATGGGTGTTAAAAAATGGTGTGAGT